GCTTAGAACATAATAAAATCACATATGAAAATCCTTGAATAAGTGGAATGATAAGAATGTAAAATATTGACGATGAATTTTTATACAAAAGTATTGCTGTTATCTTTCTCTTCCTATAACAATTGTATAGCTCCACTAAATTGAAATTTGTAATATTGTTAATGTGTAGAAAATCAACATGATACGGCTTTTTGCCGTTGTTATAGAGCTATTATTGATTCCAAACATAATAAATTCAAATTTATTTATGAAATTGGTTGCTTGCAATCAAGAATTTCTCACCAAATTTCCAAAATCTTATAAAATTTTGTGCATATTCTGCAATTTATACATACTATGATTTTTAATTATAATTTTCGTATTTTCATTTAACAAAGTTGTCATTCTGGGGTTGTTTTGTCATTGGAAGGTACGTAATATTTATGGTTCATTTGACGTTTTGTTTAAAAAAAAATAAATAATATTAATATTGTTATATTGCTTTTTTAAATTAAATGAAACAGAAGACAATCTGAAAACTTTATGACAATTAAAAAAAATATTAAGCACTAATACAAGATAAAAGGTTTTTGATGCCATTTTAAAAAGATTTTCGCTTTATTATCCTTTGAGTTTTTGTTTTTTATATTTAAAGCAAAATTTAATGAGAAAATTTTTTAAAGAATATGCACATTTTTTTTGTTTAATAGATTATGGTTGGTCAAAAAAATATTCCCTTGGAAAAGGCATTTAAGAAGGTTCAAAATAAATGTTCAGATTTTCAGATAAGGTTATTTTAAAGGTATTATCATTTCTGATGGATTTAAAATTGTTTCATAATTATTTTTCAGAATCCGGTTCATATACAGTAAAAGAGTAGTCGCTATGTTCTGAAAATTATATTCTACAAGGAAACATAAACGTTTTTGCAAAGTTTTCCTAAAATCTTAAAATTTTTGTGAATTTATAAAAGAATTTTAACGTAGAATTTATGCAAAACTTATAACGATTATGCAGAAGAGCACTTAAATGATATCACAAGATTTTTCTAAGGATCATATTCCTCTGATTTGCTCTGTTTATTCATAAGAAAAATTTCGCTAAGAAAAAATAAATTTCCCATTTGAAAATGCATAATATTATTTATTATTGTACATTATCAGTTTCGAATACTTTCTAAGGAACCAGTAACTTGATTTCTGAAGCAAACTGAATACGGTGAATAGAGAAAATATTTATATTTTCAACCTAGTAGAATGTTTTGTTCACAGTATAAATAAAATTGCTTTTCTATTTATATATGTACGTATATTATGAATAAATATTATACATACGTATATATACAAGTATTTTAGCTATTTGAAAAGAATAAGCTAAAATTTTGTTTCTTTTTATGTATATGTATGTATGTATATGGGTATAATGAAATTTAAAAATGTCAATGAACATGAAAATGTTTTCTGGTCTATTGAAAATAAATAAAGTTTAATGCCTGATTTTATAAATGCATTTTATAACTATGATAGATAGACTTGAATTGATATTTTCTTTTCATGAATAGATTTTACAGAAATAGAGAAACTTTCTTTTTAAACTCATTCCAATTGACTGTAAAATCGATTTCATACTTTTAATCCAATTGAAAAATAAAACATTTTTAAAAAAAAAATTTTGATTTTGAATATTTAATCATTTGGAAAATAGTATACTTTTTTCCTTATGCATTTTATACACATTATAAGAAAATTAAATTTAAGTTTCAAAAATATAAACACATACATACATATACATACATATATTTTTGTATATCTATATTTAAAATTTTGTTTTATTTGAAAATTGGAAATATTGGATTTGTTGCAATTTGGTTATTTGTTTTATACTGATTTATTTTCAGAAGGGGATAGACATACAGATAGTCATTTAAAGTAGTAACCAATACATATAAAATTTTTTAAATCTTATTGGCACATTTTTTTTGAAAAAATGAGGCTTTTTTGTTTTAAATTTAATAATTTGTTTTGGATTTTTAATAGGCTTGAATTTGAAATTTATTTAATATGGAAATTTTAGGAGAATATTTGGTAATTGCTAAATTAAAAAATTACAAAAAATTAAAATATAATTTAATCATCAAATTTCGGTGTAATGATTAAAATTTTTTGATTTATACTCACGATTGTTTGCTCACAAATCGAATAAAGCTGGGTCAACAAGTGAAAAAAATGATTTTAAGAGCAATCTAACCACAATGTTATTTAAAGCTGTTTCGGAACGTATCGTACCTTCACACTAAAATCTAATTTATAGCACTATTTTTCTTCCTCGAAAACTCCGAATAGGATTTAGTTTGTTCGAAGCTCATTACACTTCGTTCAACACTATCAGCCAAAAAATTTGGTGTTTTTAAATCCACACTTCATTTACAAAATATTTTCGGAAAGTCCAAGTGCAAATTGCTTGTGCGAAGTGCTAGCTTGATACCTTCGGAAGCAGCCTAAATTATTTTCATTCATATACCAAAACATTTCAAAGATTGTATACACTTAAGATGAGGAAGATTTCTTAACTCATGTTACTAACCCAGTAGTTTAGTAGCATAAGTTAAGAAATATAATTATATTTTTTGATGGCATGGCACATATATTTTTCTTAAAATAATCAAAAAATGGCATTATGTTACCTCAAGTTTTTGAGGATAATAACTTTTAGAGGGAAGAGATGGGTAAAAATTTTCTCTTATTTCTAGTAACTTCATTCAATCAAGTTATTAGAAGTAAGAGAAAGAGCTCTCTTTTCAATTTCACTTTATTCTATCTGCAAGGGTGTAGAAGTTATTTTGTCTGCAAGGTTTCGTAGAACATGTCTACGGACGGACGGACAAACGCACTGAGCGAAACGAATAAGCACTTTTTTTTTAATTTTTTTTGGTAAAGGGCTAAAAATGAATAAAATTTTACAAAGCATTTAGGAAATTGTATAATTATTCCTTATAGTTCAATTGATGTCTGCTGATAATGGCTTTCTCAGCAGACGGAAAAAGTTCTCTCAATCAACAAGATTAACTAAAATTCTCATTAAATAACTACGATATGAAAAAAAATTTAAGAAACTAAAAAGTTAATAAATTTGCCATCGCTTTTAAGTTACTTTTGAAATTTTAAATTTTAACTTGTTCGCAAAAACTCCTTTATATTTGAGTATTTTTTTTAAGGAAAAATAAAATCAAAATTCTAGTTGTTTTTATTTCAATACTAAATTTTCTTCACTGAAAAAAAAAAATTCCTTTTTAATAATCTTCATGTCATTCCGATTTTAATTAAATATTTTTGATGAAGGAAATTACTTTGCACACATCTTAATATTTTAGTATACGAATAATAGATTTTTTTTTTTGTTCAAGTCTCAAAAATAAAAAAAAATTTTTTGATAAAAAATTTCCTGTGTCTCATTTAGTTTTCTTCTTTATTTTTTACTTTATTTTTTATAAGATCCATCAAAACCGTGAATAAATTTTCTGAAAATGTTTTTGTTTTTTTTTCGAGCAAAATTCACGTGCACCTGAAAGGCACGTTTTTATTTAAGTTACTTTCGTGTCAATTTACCGTCAATTTATATATATATATATATATATGTATTTAAATATAATCTAAAAACATGATAATGTAAAAGTCAATAAATTTTTGTATAAATTATGTTAAAGAATAAATTCTAAACACGTCCTTAAATCTTAATCCAAAGCAAAGTAAAGAACATAAAAAAAAGAAAGATCCTAAATGTCTAAATATGTTCTTCTAATAGTATAAAGGGCCAATATTCTACTATAGAGATTAATAACTATGACGATGGGTTGGAAAATTTATTTTTTAAAAGTTAACTTTATCAAGGGGAAATCGTGTTTATCGTAATACTCGTATATGTAGGCATATATATTTATGTACCGTGTTATCTTTTCAATTTTATTAAATACATTTTAAAGAAATTTTGATGCATAATTTAAATTTAAATGACTTATAGGTGAAAATATAAATTTTCCTTAAATTTCTTTAATATATTATCAAATTATGTATAATATTAATTGGGGTAAGGAAAATCGAATATCCAAAAAAAAAAATTTTACTTAAAATTTTAAAAATCAATTAAATTTATTAAAAATAATAAACATATTTTAAACAGGCTTGTGGGTGAAATCGGTGTTGGATGTAAGAACATGGCGAGGCGCAGATACTCAGAGTGACCATATTCTAGTTACGGCTGACATAAGAAGCAAATTGGCGATTAGAAACGCACCAGCAAACTCCAGAAGGAAGCGAATATGTGTGCAAAAATTAAAATCAGGCGATACAAAGGAAGAATTTGTAAGAAACATACAACAAGCACTCAATAGCCAACAAAATATGTCACACAAACAAATACAAGATGTTTATCGCCGAGTTGGAGAAGACGTGCTGGGTCCCATAAAAGGTGAGAAGAAGGATTGGATCACAGAAGAAACATGGGCTGCCTTAGAAGAAAGGAAGCGTATAAGGCTCCAATTACTTACCAGTAACAGCACGGAACTGAAAAGCCAGCACAGAGATATTTGTAGAAGAATAAAGAGAATGGCCAGGAAAGATAAAAGAAAGTTCTACAGCAACATTGCAAAAGAGGCACAGACGGCTGCTGGACGAGGTGACTCAAGAACATTATATCAGAAAATTAATACACTATCGAGGAAGAGCAGTCACAAACAAATGCCTGTGCGAAACAAAGATGGCATGATAATGACCTCCGCTGAAGAACAACTAAACTAATGGAGAGAAACGAACATCCAAGATGTAGAAGAAAAACCAGTCATAAACATCAGAGAGGACACCACAATCAACCAAGGCCTCCCCCGCACTAAGAAAAATAATAGAAGCCATAAGAAAATTAAAAGCAAATAAGGCAGAAGGAATCGACAGCATACCGGCTGAGCTATTAAAGGCTGCAGAGCTAACAGCTGCAACTGTTATCCAATCATCACCAATCATAGAAAAAATATGGCAAGAAGAAAACGTACCAAAAGATTGGAAAACAGGAATAATTATAAAGTTACCCAAGAAGGGAGATCTGACGCAATGCAGAAACTGGACGGGTATTACAATACTGAGCAGTATTACAAAGGTTGTAGCCCTAATAATATAATCCAGAATAGTCGAAAAATTGGATGCATCAATCAGAGAAGAACAGGCGTTCTTTCGACAAAGTCGGGGGTACACAGAACCTGCGAGCACTTTGAGACTGATCATCGAGCAGTCGATAGAGTGGAACAACCCGTTATATGCAACATTCATAGATTTCGAGCGAGCATTCGATTCCATCAAGCGCAGCATGATATGGACAACACTAAAGAGACACAGAATCGTTGCAAAAGTTATAAATATAATAAGATCTTTGTACGACAACGCAGAAACAATGGTGTCGCATAATGGTAGACTTAGTACCCCAATAACAACAACAGCAGGAGTAAGACAAGGATGTAAGACAAGGGTCCTTATCTCCACTACTCTTCATCACGGTACTTGACAAGTGTATGAAAGAAATAGAAGCACGTAGAAGGGGATAACCTGGCAGCTTTCGCAGAAACTCTAGAGTATGGAGTATGCAGATGACATAGTCATATTGAGCCACTTAGCAGAAGAAATGCAAACAACTATCAACGAGCTGAGATCTACGTTTGGGTCTACGCATAAAGATGCTTGAGAATAAAATCTACAAGCCAGATATCCATGTATTTAGAAAATACCCATATTGGGGAGGTAGCAGAATTTGAGTACTTAGGTAGCATGATAGCAACTGATGGAGGCACGAGTAGAGACATAGAACACAGAATATCAAAGGCCGGAAGTGCATTTGGAAGGCTGCGGCCGGTGTGGAGGTCTACACAAATAGCAAGGGGTACAAAAATCAGAATATTTGATGTGTGTGTCAAGTCTGTGTTGTTCTACGGAAGTGAGACGTGGCTGGTTTCAAAGAACAACATGAGAAAATAGCAAGTGTTCGTAAACAGGTGCCTTAGGATTATATGCCGCATCTTCTGGCCCAGAAGAATAATGAATGAGGAGTTGTGGATTCTGACAAAGCAGGAACCAATCTGGGTCCAGACAAGAAGGAAAGAGTGGAAATGTGTAGGCCACATTCTGAGGCGGCCGACAACATCACTGGCGCGTTAGGCCCTAGAATGGAATCCCCAAGGGAGGAGAAGTGTGGGAAAGAAAAACAGGCTTGTATTTAAGCATAAAAAAATTTAATTTAAAATTAAATTTAAAGTTGAACCGAATTGGGAAATGTTGGCTGTTCCTATATATACGTGAAATGCTGTTATGAAAAAAAAATGTCGAATTTGAATCTCAATACAATCTAAAATATTTCATATAAAAATGCTTAATGCTGTAGAGCAAAGAATTGAGCAAAAAAAAAGCCGGAGTGGTAATTTACTATTTTAGGAAAAAGAGAGCAAAACACATAAAAAGTACCATTATGAAAAAGGAATGTAAGATTAAAAAGATTAAAACTCTCAATACTAAATTTTAAAAAATTATGTAGTATACTACAAAAAAAAAATGGTATACTGCAAAAAATTAAGATTGTTGATGTGGTTTAAAAGAATATTATAGGTGTTCCACAAAAAAAAAATTTCTCTTTTGCTTTATATAATAGTCTATATATTTGAGTACATAAATATCTGTAAGATTTAGTTAAAGTGCATACTTAAAATTGTATTTAATTTCGAAGTGTCTTATAAAAAAGAGAAAAAAAAACTCATTATTAATTTTTAAAAAGCTCTCTACTTAGGTCATTTAACCAATTTTAAAAGCTCCTCTTTATCATATGGGTAGTATAAGTTTCATAATATTGAAAATTTGTTTGTAGTCCTATTAACTTGATTTAGGAACTACATATTATATATATATGTATGTATATATACACATAAATTTATTATAATTACAAGTAATTTTGGATTTTTGAAATTAAAAAAAATTATTTGGAATTGTAATGAAATTGTTAGGGCAGTTCGATAAATTTCGTGAATTTTTAATTTTTATATTAAGTCTTTAAATTTTGATTGCCTGTACCTCTTAGAGCTTTAGAGATCCTTTTAAATTTTGAATGTTACTAAAATAAAATTCACTTAGAATAAACTTAACATCGAAAATATTCCAAAATCGTTCAATATTTTCAACAAAATTAATAATTCGTAGCTCAGTACTGTAGTTCAGTTGATAAAGCGTCCACTTAGAAAGCGGTAGGCCACTAGTATTTTTTGTGCCTTTACTCGTTCCTTTGATTACGTCATCAACCTGCTCTGCAATTGTGTGAAAAAATTTCAATTAGTTTTTCTTATAAGAATCAAAAAAAAAACTATGAACAACTACACGTTGTGTTAGTAATTAATAATATCAGTAGCTCGATTATTAGACACACCTAAATATATTGAATTTTGTGTTCCATTTATACATTATTTCGTTTAAAAATTCAATTACTTTAAAAGTTAATTTTAATAGCTTTTTAGTTCATTTTTAATTTTCTATCATATTGTAAAATTCGGGTTTAATGTCGGCTTCAGATTGAATAAATTTTGTCGAATCCTCTGTGTTAATTTTTATAGTACTCTTTACTATATATTTATAATTCAATAACTGGTCTTTTAATATAATTAAATGTGCAATGAGATTATGCTCTCTTGATATTATTATTATAGTTTAGAATACTTATAATCCAAAGATTTCTGTCTAGAGGTAATAAAGAAAATTCAGAGAAAATAAAAGCATCAATCTTTAATACATTTTCTAATTCTTTAAAAATATATAAAAACCGTTTATATTTCAAGAAGTACAAGTTTGCATTTAAAGTATAATTTGAGCTTTCAACAGCAGTACTCAATGTGATCATTTAAAAAAATTATTTTAAAGCAACGTTTCATGAAAAAGGTATTTAAAAAAAATTAGTTTATTTTTTTTTACCAGAAAAACAATAACTGTTCTATAATTGTTTTATTCTAGAAATTTTTCAAATATTTTCCTTTAACCAGACTGTAAAAAAAAAAAACGTTTTTACTAAACGAGTTTTTTTTTTTCATATTTTCCACCTTTTTTCATTTAATTTTTTCAAGCGAATTCAAAAAATTTTTTTTTTCGCTTTTTTTTTTTATTTTGCGAATTTTTTAATAAAAGTAATGGAGAAAACATTTTTGAAGCGGATATTGTGGTAAAAGAGCTGTGTGGAAATGAGTTATAACTGTAAAAGCAAAAAATAAAAGGGAAGACGAATAAAACACTTTACCACATAATGAAAATTTTTTAAAATTGTACAGAGAAAAAAAAAACAAAAAAAAAATTTAAGTGTTGAAAAAAATTTTTTGATTTCTAAAGAAAGCAATCAATTTAATGATAATGATGAAAAAGTTGTTATTCTTTTTAAATAATGATTTCAGATAAGGTGGGTTAAAAAATGTATGTGCAACGCACGGCTTTATAAATTTTTCATTACTAGTGAATTCTAATTTTTTTTTTTTATTAATAAAAAATAATTATTAATTTTATAATATTAAATTACTGGGAAAATTATTAATTAAATATAATTTAACATTAAATTATTTTTTTAAATGGGAAATGTTGTTGTCATTGTCACGTGTTGTTGCAGTTGTCTTTATTTGTCACAACTAATGGTTTGTAAGTCAAAATTCCTTTTAGCCTTTTTTTTTAAATCGTGTTCCATATAGAGACAATTTACAATTAGTGTTTAGCAATTTTCTAAAAAAAAATGTAATAACATAATTATTGCATACTTTTAGGGTACAATAAGAATTTTTAATGTAAGCCATAACAAATTAATGTAAAAATTAATATCCGGGTTACTTTGATCATTTAAAATGTTTAGTTCAATTTTCTGATAGGTTAGTTTCCGTTTTATTTGTCTTCTTTTGCAGAAAATTTAAGAGAGATGTTAATTAAGAAAGGAAAACCGGTTTCTTCCATATTAGATGAGATATTTATTTAAATGTGGTAGCAGTTAAAATTTTGATCTTTTTGAGCCTAGCGTCAAAGACACCGAAACAATATTAAAAAATTTTTTAATTTTAGATTATTATTAAAATAGTTTTTGATTTCATTATATATATATGTACATAGTTTCGTAATAATGAAAAATCCAAAATCACAAACTGAAGCTTATAATATCATCCAAATTTTGTAATCATTTAAATAGCGAATCCGTATTTTTTTTTCCTTCTTCACTCCTAGGAAGAGCATTGGGCTACTACATGATATCATGCCTTAGTTTCATAGCGTCATAGAATTAACTAGGTAGGTGACTAGCCGTAGGTTTTTATTTATATTAAGTAGTTAAGTTTATTAACATTTAGTATTTATTTTTCTTAGTTTTTAATATCGAATATAATATATTTTTAAAAATTACTTGTATAATATTTTTTAGTATTGTATGTTAAGTTATATAATATTGAAAATAATTTTTATAGTGGCCGGTCAAACCGGGGTTTGAACCCGAGACCCTTCGGTTAAAGGATCAATGACATAACCACTGCACCATTGACCAGGTCGCCGAATCCGTAAAATATACCTTATTCGAACAAAATATTGTTAAATATTGAATTTTATGGAAACCTTTCTACACCAGAAAAAAACAAGAAATAAAAATGTTAAGCTAGTTCGAAGCAAAAAATAAAATTGGGTCAAATCAATGGTTTATATTGTAGCACTTTTCCCTTCAACAAGTGAAAATTCTGCTTTTAAATACAGTCTATGTATACCTATCACACTATTAAAATTATTTTCATTTAGGATTGCATATATTTAGGATCATGTATATATGCAGTCTTTGAAATAAAGCAAAAATTAATATAAAGTGGGGCTAACATAATGCTCGATTTTAAGGTTTAATTGTGTGAGTTAAGAAAAATAATTATATTTTTTAATGTCATGGAATTTACCGTTAGCTTTTTGTGTTTATAGAAATTTGAAAAAGCTTGCGGTTTCGGAAATATAAGGTGTCAAAAATTCAAATTTTACAAATTTCAAGAGGCGATAACTTGAGAGGGGGTGGAGTGTGGTAAAAAATTTTCTTCCAACGAAATGAACTATTTGTTAATGTCTAAAAGCCCCTAAAACTTCAAGCTTTTACAGGCTAGGGTCTAGAAGAAAAACGACATCAAAAATTTGGAAAAGGACTTTAGATAACGGTAAATTTGAACGGCCATTTTGTTTTTCTAAAGTTTAACTATATTATACCGCGCTAAGGGAAGCAAGCCGCTGCCTTTCTGCGTTTGCAAAATTTCAAAAATGCTTATGGTTTCATTGCAAGAAGTAATTAAAAAAGGCCATTATTAGGGTTTTGGAGGGGTATAACTTCTAGAGGGGGGGAGATAGGTAAAAATTTTGTTCTATGGAAATAAGTTTCTAGTAAAGGTCAATGTATGTATTAAATTTCAGCTTTCAATCTTCAAGGGCGTAGAAGTTTTGTAAACAAAAAAAGTGTCCACGCGTCCGTCCGTGGACAGAGTGAAACTAATAAGCACTATTTTCAAAAAATTTTTGGAAAAGTGCTAATTAACATACATAGCTTTTGTTTAGCCGTGAAATGTGTAGTTTTTTTTACTTTTTCCATATATGTATAATAACAAAAGTTAACTGCTCTTAACTCTTCTATTTTTACATTTTAAAAAAAATATTCGGAATTCTAAAAACTTTTTAACATTTTTTCATTTGAAACATAAAATTTTATGTTGATGTGACAAAATTAAGCGCGAACAATTATAGGATATGATTAAAGAAGTTCTTATTTGATTTATAATTTAGGAATCTTTTTAGATCACAATTTGTATGTAGGATTTTCCAGAACAATAAAATAAATAGATTCATATAAAGTTAAAAGTTTCGGTTGTTTTAAAAGAAAGCAAGCCGGAGCATAATTTTATTATGAAAATTTATCGCCTTTGTCACTATTATGTAACAATAACCCTTTAATTTCTGTTGAATTTATGTATAGTATTGGAAAAATTTGTAAAAATACGAAAAGTTTATAAGTATAATAAAATTATACTAGAAAAATTTTAAATATGCAAGCTACTCGTATTCCTAAAAACAATTTTTTCAATTATAATTTGGCAACTCTATTGCCAAAACAATTCGAAATCATGTGTACTTCAATTATAGCTCAACTTGTGCTGACGGTATAATTTTAAATTTTTAAATGAATCAAACACATTACATTTTTTTTTTAATAAATCGGAAAATGAAAGTGGAAATCAAACGAAAAAAAAAAACACCGTCAAATATTTCCACCAAAAATGTTACTCGTATTTGATAAAAAAAAATTTAGAAATAAAACAGACATCAAAGCAATTTATACAATTTGAATAATTTTCATAGTTTTCGTACTTCAAAGCAAATATTTTTCTTTTATCTTTGAATTGATGATGTCTTCATTACGAAATTTTTCATATGAAAATTGCAATCATGTCTCTACGGAATATTTGATAGCTAATAGTAAATACAAATGAGGAAAAGTTTTCACTTTAAAGGTATTGAAATATTTAATCGATTTTATAAGGTACATGAAAATATTATGCGTTTATAAAAATATTAGATTGTATTAAATAGCATTGAAATTAATAAGTTGCTTCTAAAATAATTCACATTTGTTAAAATTTAATATTAATTGAAGAAAATTAAGTGGTCTTATTTTCTGGTTTTAATGCTTCGTCAATGATGTAAGGAAAGACCTATACAAAGAAGGGAAGTAGAATGCGAATCAAAACAGTTCGCCTGTTGTGTATTAGCAAGCTTCTCATACAATGCGAAAGATTGCTTAAAAGGAAAATCTTATACAAAAAACGAAAAATGTCAAAATTTTGAATGGGTTAGAAGCAGGTCCGATTGTAGACCTTAAGGTTTTCGGATGTCAGTCGAGACTATCAGGATATCGTGGCCTCCTCTGCGAATGTCCATTTTTAAAGGAGAGGAGTAGACTCATACTGGGTGAGCTTTTTTCTTTTTTTTGGGCTAGAGGAATTATCGAATATTGCCTTGGCAAAGTTGCAGAGATTTGTAAGGGTCGGCTTCGGTGATCTGGTTAGTTTTTCTAGATTTCGGCGGAGGGTTTTTTCGTCAATTTTTCCGTTGTGGATTTCAATGATCATAATTTTTTGTTTAGCGCCATAAGTAAAGCCGTGCGACGCCCCTCTCGCCGACTAAAGGTTAGAGATCCGGTTGTTGATATTTTGGAACATGCGGTACGTATTTTGATTAAAATGTATATAGGTATAATTATAACTATAGGTGGTATTATTTAAAATAGTTATATTAATACGCTTTCGCTCTCACCTTCTTCTAAACACATACATACATATGTGATTGATTATCAATTGATAACATCACCACGGAGATCACTTGATATGTAATATTATCGGAACTTTATTGTGCGATTAATATTTTGGAGATTATGTAAAGAAAAATCTACAACTGCGAAACGAGACGATTCTGAAGACCATGCAGAATAAAAACCCTTCAAAATTTCTTATTAAATTAAAAATAGTCAACTTATGTGTTGTCACATAACTTATATTTGCATTTAATATTATATTATAATTAACATAGTTTTCATGGGAAAATTCAATTGAAAACGAAAATTTATATAAAGTGAAATTAAATGTTTTTTTTGTGTTTTTTCTTAGTTTTTTATTATATTTGCTGCACAATATTGTTTAAGATTATCAAGTACATTATTTATAAATTTTTAATTCAATCAATAATTGCATTATTATCAAGTGCTTAAAAGAGAAAATTGTATATTGAATTCAATCATGATTTATATATTATTAATTGTATTCTGATTTAATTTATAAAGCCAAACTTATTGAATTGAAAAATTGTTCATTTAATTAACAGAGAAATAAATTTAATTATGAATTAATTTCGATTTTTCACAATGATAGAAAAATGCAAAAAAAAAAAAAATTATAAAGAATATTTTAATATTTAAATGCGGTATGCTTTTGTATGTAGCTTAAAAACTTTTGGTTAGTGAATTTTTCATATTAAATCAAATAAAATGAATTTAAAAGTATAATATGAAAAATTAATAATTAATAAACATTATTATGTATTTGAACATTCATATATATACATTTGTTTATATTTATGTAAGTGTGCTCGTTCCTCAATTCTGTATTGCAGTAATACTGAATTTTCAAAGCTGATTCAATTTGGTTATAATCTACAAGTCAGGTTAATATACGTCGTTGTCTGAATGTAGTTAGCTAAAATACACGTCGTTACCCGAATTTTCGGTTACTTTTTTTACGAACCTGTAAGCTTTCTAAAATTTCTACAAAACCGAGTAGCTAATATCTAGTTATCAAACGAATGAAGAGAATTACAGCTTCGTTAAATTTTCGTTCACATCTTAATAGTGTGCCATAATCATTTACTTTACATTACAAATTCGATTTATTAATAGAATAACACTTAAGTAGAATATTATTTTTCTAAAAAAAAGGATTAACACTCTTTCTAACTCATTAATTCTTCCGAGGAAGAATTAAACCAATTTTTAAATAAATGTTTATAAAGTATGAAAACTATGAAAATTGGTTTAATTCATATGAATTTATTAAAGTTGCATGTGCTAGTCTACATACATACTAGATTGATCATTTATATTTATTGTTATTCTTTACTGTTCTTATACGAATTACAGAAGTTTTTTAATAAATCATAAATACTTTATGAATTTTATGAAATTTTTTCCTTATATACATTATTAAATTTTTAATTCTTTTCCGTATATTGCTTTGACATATCGAACTTCGTTATGAACTCTTATAAATATAAATAATATTGTGTATATAAAGTTATTGAAAAGAGCAAAACCGGAAAAAAAATATAATATTTAAAATCAAAATTTTTTATCCGCATCAAATTATCAATCAATCATTTCTCCTATTATTTTACAGTTCAATAATTCATTTTATTGGGCTTCAAGTTTCCACTTTGTAACAAAAACAAATATATATATAATATACATATATCTATATGTACAATGTATTATGTTTATAAACATTTCTCAAGGGAAATACATAATATTCGGGTCGGCATATTATATACGGTGATCCTTTTTTACTGTATGTTTTTGTTATTTTCTTATATTATTTTATATACATATATTTTATATTACTCTTAATACAGGAGGATAAAAGCAATGAAAAAATGATGAAGAATATGTCAGATTAAAATGTGGTCACGGTCAGCTCAATATATGTAACTGCTTGTATAATATATGTACATACATATATTCATACACAAACCATATTATTTATGACATTTTTATATTGCTTACTGAGATTGACAAAGTTATCTGTACTAGTTTTTAAACACTTATCCTTCTTTTGATTAAAAAAAAAAAAATAAAGCAATTTTTTTTAATATTTATATTTTCACTACTGTTTTTTTTGAACTAGCGTCAAAGTTCAGGAAAAGGCTGACTATATAAAATAATGGCTGTCAACAATTTTAACATTTTTAATTAAATTTCAGATATTGCATTTTATGCTTCTTGTTTTATGTTTTTCAAAGTTAAGAGCTTTTGTTTGAAATTGAAAATTCTCATTATTTTAATTAACAGGTTGCCTTTTTTTGAATGTCACTTAATCTTTGGTATAAGAATAAGGTGGTTACCTCTTAGGTTTTATGTTGATAATTAAAAAAAATCTGAATAATTTTACAATTTTCGGTATTGTTGTATGTTATAATAGACTCATAAAATTTAAAGAGCCTATAAATTTATATTTTGAAGTTTCTTTTTGATAAATTTCGTAAAGTATGTTTATAACGAAACCGTATTTTCTTCCACGGTCGTAACTCGTAACTTGTTGTATATTAACAATTGCGTTCTATTTTTATGCCCTCATAAACACAAAAACTTATTAAAACTACCTTATATTATTTATATAACACACGTATTTGTAGAAGACGACCTAGTTATAAGGAAATCCCAATGTCAAAAGAAATTAGGGCATAGTTATATAAGCTATCACGCATCATCCTTATACTCATCCTTATACTCCTTCTAGAAGTGAAGTAGGAAGAAAAAAACAAATAATTTACTGTAAAAGGCCTTTTAGAAACTGTATGCTCTTGCAACATGTATTCGACCATGAGAGTTAAGGAATCATTCAAAAATTTTAAAACAAATTTAAAATAAACTTTCCGTAAATGTTTCATAACATTGTAATGACTTTTTAATTCATAACATTGTATATTTTTAAAAGAAAATTGTATTTGCAATAATATTGAATTAAATTAGCCACTGTAAAATTTTTGGTGTACTTAAAAAATTTTTACTACAAGTATATGTAAATAAAGACAGCATTTTTACTATCAACAACGGGCATCAACGGATGTTCTGGCTCATAGGTTTATGAAGGATTACCTTGATATCGCCCTTATTCAAGACCCTTACATAGTGAAGGATCACGTTAACAGATTCGACAGATTGGAGTCAATTCGAAACGCTCCTCATTGATGGGATTTTATCTATTCCTACTTCTGTCAGAACGGTGATGGATATCGAACAGAAGTTAGAAAGCGAAAAGAAGTTCGAAGAGGGTGTTCTGCAATTGCATTGATGAACTCCCCATAAGTGCGTGTCTTCACAGGGTGCTTTCAAAAAGTATGCTGGCGAGTTGGGCCTAATGGAACGGCCTTACGGCTTCAGAACTGAGAACGGAAAGCAGACGTTGGAGCTTATGGCCTCAACGCACGCGTAGGGATGACTGGCAACGATCCCGTTTAGTCTTCACGATTGGCAGGATTAGATGGGCTGTTTTCTCTTTTAGGCCCTTCGAATCTCCAGGTAATGACGGGATATATCCTGCGTTTTTGCAAACGGGTGTATAGCTAGAACACTGTTGGAAATTTTTCGTGCCAGATGTGCGTGGGGTTCTCCCACAGACATGGAGAGTGGCTAAAGTGACGTATATTCTGAAGGCAGGTAAGCGACCAAGCAACTTTCCGTCCCATCAGCCTTACTTTCTTTCTATTGAAAGATATGGAAAAGGTGGTTGATAGGTTTATAAGGGACGACACACTGGGAACCAATCCCTTGCATGGGTCTTAGTATGCCTATCAATCAGGAAGGTTTACTACGCTCGCTCTGCGCGGTCTGGTAGGGTCCTTGAAAACTCACTGGAAGCGCGGGAGGTGGCAGTTGGCTGCTTCCTTGATATAGAAGGAGCTTTTGACAACACTCCATATCATGTCGTTTGTGAATAGTTGCACAAACGAGGGATTGATGCAACGATGAGCAGATGGGTTAATCGGATGCTACAGGATAGGATTATTAAGGTCACCATAGCTAGGATTATTAAGGTCACCATGTCCGCATGGCGGGATTCTTTCGCCCCTCCTCTGGTTCATTGTAGTGGATGATCTAATAGCTGCTCTCATGGGCTCCGGGGCATGTGTCTGCGGTTACGCCGACAGTGCGGCCTTCTTCATACGGGGCAAATTTGAGTGCACTATTTCTGATCTTCTGCAGCACAATTTACGTGTTGTGGAAAGGTGGTGCGAAGGCTTCGGGTTAAATATAAATCTCATCAAGAGCAATTCAAGCCCAATTCTGTTTGGTCAACGTATTAGTTACTCTAGTGAACGTATTAGTTACTCTAGTGATGGATGGTGGTAACCCTGGATGATAGCCTCTCCTGCAGTACCCATATAGATAGATTTATCAGGAGGGCTACGGTGGCCTTGTGGAAGTGTAGGAGCTTCATCGGTGGGACCTAGGGGATCAGTTCCAGGATATCACTTCGTTGAAAGGATGATTGAGGTGCCATCACTGCACCTCCATATATTGAAGGCAGCTCTGTTAGTGATTTACCGACTTCTCTCTGGCGAGGAAGAGGCGGGGCGAAAGTTGGCCCACGGATGTCTGTCTGCCGTGGTGCAACTTCAACCGCAAGTGCAGGGTTCTGTTTCCCGATCCATGGACGTGGGATCGGGGTAGCCCGGTACTTGAGCCGGGTTCTAGCCTGTGGTATGCAGGCGGGTCCAAAACGGAGTCGAGTGTGGGTTCAGGTGTATACGGTGTCCGCCTGGACATGCGTATATATGCGACCCTTGACTCGAATTGCACGGTGTTCCAAGACGAAATACATGCAATAGAGATCTGTCTGAGAGTTAATTTAGAAAGAGGGATAAAAACCGTACCATCTATGTGTTCTCGGACAGCAGGGCTGCATTGTTGGCATTTCATTCGGCTCAGGTTAGATCCAAGCTGGTGTGGAGCTGTCTTGCTGCACTTGTGGAATTGGTATCGGAGAACAAAGTCACGCTCATTTGGGTGCCGGGCCACAGTGACCATGCGGGCAACGAGGTTACCGATGGGCTAGCGCGGAGAGGGTCTGGGGCTGCCTTCTTTCGTCGTGAAGGTCATGCTTGCCCGCGGCGGAATGCGGCCTTCACTGTCGGGGCACGAAGAGGTGACGTAATGCGAAAGTGTTCTTTTCGGCGTGCTCCAGCGGATTCACAGCAGAATTGCTGGGAATGAACAGCAGTCGGGTTCGCGCTATTGCGAATTTCTTCACGGGGCACTGCCCAGTTAAGTACCACCTGTATGGGCTTGTGAAATTGGGCTCCCCTCTGTGCAGATTTTGCGACTGTCCGGCACTGCCTCTTCGGCGTTGGCATTGTTTTGGACATGGGTCCGAAATTCGTTGATTCTTATAATGGAAAAGAATTTATGCAGGAATACGTTATCAAAAGAATATTCCTTAGTATGCTCAGGCTTGGGAGTTTAAAATAGGATTTTTCTAGACAAATCGGACAGTTCTTGAATCACATTTTTAGTCTCTTAGTCATAAGCTAAATGAAACAAAATATAAGGATGAATTATTTGCTCCCAATTCAATTTTGCTATACAATTACCCGATTTTGATAGAATAATTTTTTCATATTTTCTTCACGTTAACATTTATTTTCTTATTTATTAATATTTTATTCATTTCCAATTTCAAATAGGCACCTTTTCATTTTTGAATATTAAAAATCTTCGAATTTTTTTCTTCTTCTTTTTGGTATAATTAATCTCTCGATAATTCCAATAAAATTAGTATTAAAAGAGTTTCCCCTTGAATTTGATTTATTATTGTTGAAAATTTTATGTCTTTAAATAGAAGTTAAGAACTCAAATAGCGAAAAAATATCATTTCCGGGCTGTTAACATAAACAAAAAACAACAAAAAAAAAAAACGGAATAAAGTTCGATTTTTATTTTGATTTTTGTTTTTCACTTATATTTTTGATTTGTTGCCGATTTTTATACCATGCAATACACCTTAACCTTGTACATTGTTTTTAGCTGGTTGATTCCATTTTTCCTCATTTTCTGTTCATTGCGTTAAAAATGAGGAAAAATTTTTTTGTTCCATATTTTTTTCCTAACTTTTTACAAAGTTCTCCAATTAAGTATTTTTGTGTATAAGTTGAGAAAAGCAAAAAAAAAAAAAACGAATGGAACAATAACAAGAAAACAACATTGCGAAAAGAAGGGCCAAACTTTTTCAATGAAATCTGATTCAAAATAAATAAAGCGATAGAAAGCAATTAGGAAAGTTCTTTTAAGCTTGTCATTTGATCGTGAAGCAAATAAAATGATTAGACTTCGAGAAGGTGAAAAAAAGATCCTTGAAACTAAATAACTTTTAATTATCAGAGAGTTGTTGTTGTTTTTATGTTTTTATCTAGTTGTTTGTTTTTGTTTTTGTATTTTTATATGCAACCGCATGCTATGTATATGTAGCTTGAGAGACTTGTAAAACAGAAATAAAAAAACAATGAAAAGAAAATTAAAAACAAAGTTTTTTTTTTTCTTTTTTTTTTTTGTGTAAAAAATTGGGAAACTGCTTTTTTTGTAAAAGTTGGGAAAATTTTTTTATTTCTCCATTTTATTTATTTTTTCTTTTGTTCTATTGTGTATGGCTCTAAGAGAAATAAACGGAAAAAAAACAAGAAGAGAACGGTGGGTGATAAACGATTTTTAATAATGAAAAGAGGTGAAAAAATGAAAAAAAAATAATAAAAAAAATAAAAATAAAAACGTATTTAGTAAATCAAAATGAGAATATAAAGCAACTTAGTCAAAGTTTTTGACTTCAAAATAAAACTAAAAAAATAAATGGAAGAAATTCAAGTTAAAAATTTAATTAAAATTACAAAATATTTTTTTTTTTTAA